CGAGCTCAGCACTGATACTCTGGGAATGCGATCGTTTCCTTCTCTAATGACTATCTCATTATCCGCGTCGCATTCTGCGTGCTGTATTCTACAGCACTTGTCTAATGCTACGAGGTTGAGATAAAAGTTGATCACGTTGTTGTTTAACCACTGCTGTTCGACGACGAGTAAAAGGAAATCGTTCCGAGTGAGTTGCAACACTTCGTTATTGTGCGCATCTTGTGTGCTGACAACGGGATACCTATTCCCGTATTCGCGAATGATATGCGCTAGTGCTGCCATCTCCCTGTCCGATAAAGACGAAGTTGCTAGATGCATTGTCCATCCTTTTTTGCACAATCTTGTATCCGTTGTTGTCATTTGTACTGCACACCACAAACGATGAGGAAGAGGACATTCACGCGGGCGGACGGGGCAAGTATTGTGAGTGCATGGCCAAACGTTTTGTGAGAGTTGATGCATGTAAGGCATGTTTTCATTATTTCTCTAATATTTTACTTGTATGAACGTCATTCACATATGCAGTCATTCATTCCTCGCATCGATCGACCAACCTTATATAGTACGTCCGCAAACACACGTCCATGTCGCAACAAACGAGAGAGAGAGAGAGAGATAGATAGATAGATAGATAGATAGATAGATAGATAGATAGATAGATAGATAGATAGATAGATAGATAGATAGAGAGAGAGAGAGAGAGAGAGATAGAGAGAGAGAGATGTACGTCGAGACGGGCAGTCAATCTAAACATCTCAGGTCTATTAAAAATTTGAGGTGAAAAAAAAAATATACATAAATAGAAAAACGATGTAGAAGTGGTGCCTACGGAGATTAATACGAATTCTGTTTTAAACAAAACAACGAACCAAGTCAATTACACAATTTCGTTCAACAAGGCAGAGGTGAAGTTGTAATCATATCACTGGATTCCCCCCCTCCAATTGCCCCCCTCCCGCCTCACCCACCCTCACCCTTTTAATCAATATCAGCGGTTAAGGTGTCGAGGTTACGAGAACGGTGCATTCCCTCCACATCCCCTCCCTTCCCGCCATCCCCACCGGCCCCTCCCTGTGGTGTCAGCGGTGATTGTGCATCACCTTTGCCAGTGCATAAAGACGGTTGCAACTGACTCTCCACCACGCTCGTCCCAACATCAGACTCTGACTCGATCTCGGATCTGTCTTGCATTGCAACATTTGTTATCAATAAACTCTCGTACGTGGCACCTGCATCCGGCGGCAACGTCGTTGACACATCGATGGGTCAGGACGATTGTGTCGCGGCGACCGAGATGGATTTTTTCGATATTTGCGGCTTAGACGTGATGTCAACCTCTTGAGGCCCGACAACAGTAATCCCGTCATCTCCCCTGTGCCCTGCTTGCGCGGCCACAGAGGCCGGCTCAGCCGAAGGCATGAAATCATGAGAGCAGCTCCCCTCCAAGGTTCTGGCGGTTTGATCAACCTTCCAATTGATTGACCCGCGTGAGGGACTCGAGCGCAGGGCATAGAATTTGTTGTTGTACTCCAGTTGCCGATTGTCCCGCAAAACATGAAACAATTCTTCGGCCTTGGCTTTGATGGCGGCCTCGTTCTGCTCTGGATTCTCGACGCGCACGCGATGCAGGATCGCGAGTTCCGTCGTTTTCAACCAGATGTCCTTTGACATCCGGCGAAAAGTCTTCCAACCGCTTGTGTATTTCACCGCCATCTTTCACTCCCCATCTTGGATGCACGGCTGTAAAACGCCCTCATGCCATATGATGTCATGGCCCCACTGATCCTCGCCTGTGTGGGTGTGTTTGCCCTCCAAGAAATATATCGTGTCCAGGTCAGCACAGGAGCGTGAAGGAATTGCATCGCCTGGTGCGAGCGTCGACGCCTCGCCTTGTATCTCAATGTCGTCTTCTTCATTGCCACCACATCTTCCAATGTCTTGCAATGCAGTACTCTCAGACGAGGCCACCATTGAGGCGACGCTTGGGGCGGCCACCGGGATGGACCCTCCGTGCGAATGGACAGTTCCGTCTTCGTGAGCTTGCACCATTCCACCGCGCGGAACCTCAGCACATGTGTCCTCGCCCAGTTCGAGGTCGGAGTCCGAAGAATCTTCCTCGTTGTCGACGGGGTTAAAGCCATCGCCCGATTTCGCGAGCTCCTCGTAGTCCTTGGACGTCAATTTGTCTTTGCGAAGATCGAACTTAAGGATCTCGCATCGAGCAACAAAAGTCTCGAAGGCGCCAGTGAGAGCACCGTGATAATGTTTGAGGGTCTCTGTTGCCTTTGCTTTCCTATATATATATTTTCCGTCAAGCCGTCCTTGTGGCATATCACGAAACAAGTACTCCCACACCTTCAGTCTCTTAGGCCCTAACTTGTGGAACATGTCCCTGTCCAGGCGATGTTTGCAACGCGGTTTCTCAATGTGGCAGTTGAATCTGTCGTCCTTGACAAGTATATTGATGAACTTTGTCAAGTATGCAATGTCCTTTGCCGACTGGTCACAGGCAATGACATTATTCCCTGCCAGTAATAATTCCCACACAAGACCCGCGTGCGCCCTACCCAATAAAAGCACACCTTCCGCCTCCCCGACAAATGACCCACACAACGAACGCAACTTGCCAGGCTCTCGCTCCCAGATGGAATACACCACACTTTCATCGCCCTCTATGCCACCGTGTTTCCCCAGACACTTCGCGAACTTGTCCTCCACAACATGCACGTTTGTGAGGTCATTGACAATGCGGGGTGCGACCGTAACCTTTCTGAGATCCCCTCCCTCCGCGTGCAGGACAATGGCCATCATGTCTCGACTCGCCGTAGCGATATTGCCATACCTCGTGATGTCATTCGATGGCCTGTCCACCCGTTTCCATGTCCCGAGGATGAGTTCGATGTCCTCCCACTGGAATAAGGAACGCAGAACATCACTTTGCACCTTCTGCGGTGCGAAGACAAAAAGAACCCAATTAGAGCCACAACACTTAGTCACCATAGAGTGCAGAGCGTCGAACTCTTGAGAGGTCCATGTCGTGCAGAAGTTAGTGGGGGAGATGTCAAGGATGACGGCCCTGCAGGTCATTTTTTGCGTCGCAGCGACGATGTCGTCTGGCGCAGCCAGCACTTCCTTCAATGGCATGCACACCGGTAGTAATGTTGTTTGTTTTTTAAGTTTATCCCACACGATATGACGTGCGCTGGAGGCGACCCGTTTGACCTCCGCCCGAAGTAGATCGAGCTTATCGATTGAGGTGTATACAAACACCTTAAAGTGGAACGGAGCCTCCTTATACATTGCCGCTGTAGGGCCCAAGCCTGATCCTTGCCTTGCCTCCTCCACCCCTCCAAGCCGTCGAGGGACCGTCTTCACTTTGCTGACATGCAGCTTGTCCCGTTTCTTCTCCCATTCAGCTGCACACAGACCGTTCGGCCCATACCTGTCTTCGAGGTCCTTGTATGACATGAAGAAGGCATCATTCCACTCATCGTCCGCCCTTCCCTCGGTGCGAAAAACAACGTAGTTGAACATACGGACCATGTACCATTCCTTGCGCATGATGTCGAGGAGGCACTCCGTATTCACTCTCGGAGGCATGACCTTGACGTTCGTCGCGACCACCTTCCCTTTCATGAGGAGGAGCAGTGCAACTTCCCTCTCGCGGCACGTCAAATCCCCAAAATTTTTGAAGTAGGAAGGACAGAGATCCTTCCAGGACACGGTGGAGCCTTTGGGACCATCTCTCGCGTATATGCAATGGTATAATGTTCTTTGCCCCTTCGTCTCGTCGGTGTACGGGCCTGTGGCTGGCGCCCCTCCATCCTACCCGGCATGTCAAGCGGTATTTTACCATCGCCAACTGGCAGCTTCCCCTCGTTGAACATCTCGAAGAACTTCTCGACCAGTGGCCACACAGCCTCGGTGGATGTGGCGAGGTTCATGTAGCCACGGAGTTTATTGCTCCAATCCTTACTGTACTCATTCTCGAGCGCCTGCTTCACGAACGTCTTGTCGCATGCCTTCCCCATGGAGACCCTTAAGAAATTATGCCACTTCTTTTGGAGCGCAACAGCGACCGCATCCTTATCGTTGACCTTGCCTTTCGGGGCCTCGATTCGATGGTTATCGATCCACCATTGCCTCATATCACGGACAACATCCATGGCCCAATTTTCGCGCGTGTTGTCGAAGGCGGAGACATTGAAATACCCTCGCGTCTGCTCATCTCCAAAATAGACGACCCGCACCTTAAAGTACGCGCGAAGGCCATAGACGTCGACTGCCGGAGAGCCCTTTTTTACCAATGTCTTCATGGCCTCGACCGTATGCTGACCACAGACAGCATACCAATCGAACTCCGAGGAGTCTTTTTCGAAGAATTCGGTCGGTGTTATCCGCCTACCCTGCCCGCCAACGATGTCGTTGCGGTCAACCGGCGCAAGCACGAGCTCAGGCCTATCCCACGCCCCCGGTTCCGTGGTGATGGAACTCTCGATGGCATTCACGATGCCTCGCACAATGTTCGTAGACAAAGAGCGGTGGTTGAAAAGAATATTCCCGCGGGGAATGCGTTTGATTTTCATGACGTTCACAAGAACAGGAAGGACTTTTTGCTTAGCAAAACCCCGCTCGTCGTACTCGAGGAAGAAACACCGCGTCGTGTCGATGGGCGCAGCGTGCTGAAGCGGTTCATCATCATCGTCGGGCATGCGAGGGTCCACTTCCTCGCCCTTATCCCCTGAGTCCCGCAGTTCTTCAGCCCTCACTATCTGCTTACCTTTTCTTGCGCCACCACGGCCGCCGCCACGGCCGCCAGATCTTCCCCCCTTGCTGCTCTTCCGAGGAGGTCTCGCCTCCTGGGATGCCACCAGAGCTCCACGAGCCTCATTAACATCGTCAGTCCTCGCTTGTCTCTTGTGAGCAGAAGCAGAAGGAGAAGTTTCTCTTGTCCTTTTCCTCGACTTTGATCCCCCGTGCTCCTGCGAGTCATGCCCACCCTAACTCCCGCCTTGCGAATGCCATATCGCAGGGGACGACATGGGCCGACCAACAGCCGCTCCCACAGAACCAGTGGGGATGTCGCCAGGGCCATGCTCCGACGTGACACCGACGTCGTCATCGGCAAGCATGTTTTGGTCCTGCATGTTCTCATCCCCAACGTCCATATACTCGTCATCACCGTCGTCTTCACGTGGACCGCAGCTTCCCCCATCTTCTTCCTCCTCGTTTCGCTCAGTGAGGGCAGTCGCTCCTTCCTAGGAACTGTCACGCGCAGCATTGCGTCCGTACAGATTTTTGTCATCGTACTCCGTAGCCTCGCTGGAACATTGAGCGATATCGTGACCTCCCCTCACCGTGGGCAAGGGCGAGGGCGACGCGGCTGGCAAAGGCGGAGCTGGACAAGCAGCCAACTGTTTCCTCTTCCCAACCGACGCGGATGGCGTCTGTCGCGATTTCCTCGAGCTCGTGACAAAGGGCACGAAAGCGCAGTCGGCTTGCTGGTCCAGAGGCAGCCTCGAGAAGGCTTCCCTGTACTCCTTAACAACGCCTGGCAGTTGGTCCGCCGGGCTGCTGAATTTCACCAAGGGTTTGGTGAGCTCCAAGGAACTTTCAACGACAGGAAGGCAGCCAGTGACGCGGTAGCCGTTCGTTCTACTGAGGAACTGTTCCGCAGTCAGCATGCGAAGCTCGGTGCCGTCCCCGCGCACGTCAAACGCTTTCATGGAGAAAGCCTTGACGTCGTAGCCTTGAAAGAGCCACAAGTCAAGGCCGACCTTCTTGTCTTCCTTGACCCAATTTTTCCCATCCTTGTCGAAAACTGACGTAAGAAAGAAGGTCCTGAAGGTCCTCCCGTCGTAGGTATTCCTGGCGCTCTCAGATTTCTCAACACCCCCACAGCAGTACCATGTCGCACCATTGTCGTCGCTCAAGAAGACGACGGCCCCACACCCAGGCCTATGCAGACCACCAACCCAATCCAAAGCCCATGGTTTGTTGTTGTAGATTTTTGACCTGCCATATGCCCGAGAGGACGAAGCAGCAGGTTGACCTAGAGGGCACAAACAAAGGAAACGCACAAGCAAAGAACAAATGAGGAACAAACAGAAGCGCTTCGCATGTCGAGTCGACCCTCGTTTCTGGAAAGGGGTCCGGCGTTCCCTAGACGCCCGCCCCCCCGACCCTCGTTTCTGAAAGGGGGTCCGGCGTTCCGAGAACGCCCGACCCCCGACGTCTCCGGAAAGGGGGTCCGGCGTTCCCAGAACGCCCGACCCCCGACAGACGTTTATGGAAGGGGGTCCGGCGTTCCCAGAATGCCCGACCCCCGACCGTCGTTTATGAACGGGGGTCCGGCGTTCCCAGAACGCCCGACCCCCGACCGTCGTTTATGAAAGGGGGTCCGGCGTCCCCAGAACGCCCGCCCCCCTCGGGGCATTTATGAAAGGGGGTCATTTGCTCCCAGAACGCCCGACCCCCGACCACATGTCCGTC